CCCCCACAGACTCGCTCTGTGAGCAGTTTGCAGACCACTTCAGGGGAAAAGTCAGCGCCATCAGATCTGATATTTTATCTAATCGCGATATGATTTTAAACACATCTGAGGGCTCGATTGTACCTGAGGAGACACTGGACAGCTTTGTCCTGGTTAATGCTGAGAACCTTAAGAAAGTTTTCTCCACAGTGAGACCCACCACATGTCTTTTAGATCCAATCCCCTCTTCACTCTTTAAAACACTTTATGGATTTTTTGAGGCTGAGCTTTTATACATGATGAATTGCTCTCTTCAGTTGGGTGTCTTCCCTGCTGCCTTTAAAACGGCGGTGGTGAGGCCCCTTCTGAAGAAGAGCAATTTGGATTGTAATGATTTTAATAACTACAGACCTGTATCCAACTTACCATTTTTAAGTAAAGTCTTAGAAAAACTTGTTTTTACTCAGATTACTGATTTTCTCAATGATAGACAGATCCTGGAGATATTCCAGTCTGGATTTAGGGTGAACCACAGCACAGAGACGCTCTCCTAAAGGTTTTAAATGATCTTAGATGTAACTGGGACTCCCAAAAGCTCTCAGTCCTGGTGCTACTGGATCTAAGCGCAGCCTTTGATACAGTAGACCACGCTATTCTTTTAAACAGACTGAAACACATGGTGGGCCTCTCTGGTGCTGAATCTCTCTTTGCTTTTCTTTGCAAGCTCCTTTGACTACGATGACCTGGATGATTGAGAACCTTCACAGACATATGTTACATTTTATATTGATTTCATGTTTATCCTTGTTTTGAGCAGTGTGTGGAGCAACTTTTGTGCATTGTCTTCTGCTTATAATTTATTGTTTATATGGTCATTTTATTGCTGATAATTTATTCAGTGTCTTGTTTGTGAACTGTGTTTTCATTATTTGTAATGTTTCGGTTGCATCTTAAATTTCCTCTGAATTGTCTAAACTGGTGACCTTAAAGGTTTCTGCACAAAATAAAAACAAAACAAAAAATTATTTAAATTACATTTTTCAAATAAGACATTTCATTCAGTGTCAGTTTTAATTAATTCTAGTTTTTGCATTTGAACTTTTCCAATCCTGAATTTCATGCCAGAAAAATGTTTAAATTATTTTGGGGCAGGGAAAACAAAAAAGTACTAAATTTAATGCAATAGAGGACAAAAACGTAGCTCTATGTCACAGGATGGGCAGCCTTGATATTCCAAATAGAGCACAGAGTGTGGGTGCTGGCACTGTTAAATATTGTATCTCTAACATATAGCAGCTGCAGGTTAATTATTGATGGCATTAAAGTCATTTCAGTGTGAAGCTAATCTTTGACATGTGAGCTGCAGAGTAGGATTCTTTAGTGGTTTGAAGTGTTTTATTTGGCAGAAGTCTCCTGACGCAGAGGAGCGATCACAGAAAAGAAGCAGAGCATTTTCTGTTTTTCAATAGAAAGTTGGTCCAGGCAGCAGAGAGCTGCAGAGTGAAGTTCATAGGAACAAGCTGAGTAAGTGCAACTTTGATTCATTTGTCTCTGAGATTTCTTCTTCATCACAGAGCTGCAGCTCTTTGTTAATGTGTGTTTGTTTGGGGAACAGATTGAGACTCATTACATATCTGATACATCTGTGAATACATCTGTGAATACATCTGGTATTGGATGAAATCAATAAAAACAATAAATTCCTTTAACAAAAAAGTCTTTGATATCCAATTTAGAGCTTTTCAAACCAATCCATGTAAGAAGATCTTTTCCCCCTCACATCACATCACATCAGACAGACAGCTTGTGCTTTTCTTTATCAGGCAACAACAGGTTGTTAACAGTATCATGAAAAGTGTCTCAGTGTGCACGTCACATCAGATCCGATCAGAAAAAGTCTGACTGTAATGTGATGTTTAGTAAGATGGACTCTGAACAAGCTCACCATCAAACTGTAAAACTATAAAAATCCTGTATTTCATGTTGATGATGAGATTGTTTTATGAAGGATCATAGTTCATTCCTTTTAAATATTCTCCATAATTCATGGAGAATATTTAACAGGAATTGCTAAGAGCCCCCTGCTGGTTCCCTCTAAGTCAGGGGTGTCAAGCATTAGGCTCAGTGTACTGAATCAGCCCAGCAAAGACTAATCCTACCTGCTGGACGACTTCGGAATTTTTTGGACTTCTAACTGTATTTTTATGTTTTTTTTTTTATGTGTATTTTTATGTGTGAAACTGGGCGTGGGTCCAAATCAGCCTGAGCCACACCTTGGCTCAGGCGATTAGAGGATCATCAGGGGGTCCTTTTGTCCCTCTGTGGGGGGATACTCCCACTAGGTTTATATCTGGGACTCTCCACCATTTGACCTTAGAACTGAAGAAGCTTCTCGGATGAGAGGTGAAACGTCTTCAAGCAACTTAAAGAAGTCCAGACGCTTTTCTTTGCAAGCTCCTTTGACTACGATGACCTGGATGACTGAGAACCTTCACAGACAACTATTTCAATGATTGTGCTTGCCAACTCATTGGATATTGAACAACCAAGTGAGCAGGAGGGCTATAGTTATAACTGAGAATTTGAGTTTTAGACATATTAATTTTATAGCCAGAGAGTTTCCCAAATTTTTGGCATAAATTCATCAACGAAGGCAGGGAGTTAGTGGGCTGATCTAGGTATATCAATATGTCATCCGCATAGCAAGCAAGCTTGTGTTCCTGTCCCGCAATGGTAATCCCCTTAATATCTTTATTTTGTCTAATTGATTGTGCCAAAGGTTCTAAATACAAAGCAAACAGAAGCGGGGACCAAGCACAGCCTTGTTTATTTCCTCTCTGCAGAACAAAGCTATTTGAGAGAGAACCATTAACTTTAATTCTTGCGGTGGGATTAGTATATAATGCCCTCACCGGTTAAATTTTTTTTATATAAGGTACTCAAGGTACTCCCGGCTTCTTTCTATTAGAGCTATCTAGATCCGGCTGCAGGCGTACATTCAGATCGCCGCCGCAAATTAAAGGGCCTTGAGTTTCTGTCACCATTATATTAACAATGTTCTTAAAAAAACTTAAGTCACTTCCTGGTGGGGCGTACACATTCATTAAAGTAACCTGATTACCATCAACTGTTCCCCGGACCAGTATAAACCTCCCATCCTTATCTTTAAGTTCGAATGACTTTTCAAAGTTCAATGCCCTGGAAATCAAAATCACCACACCCCGTCTGCGGCCGGATTCATACGCTGAGGAGAACATGTTTGTAAAGCCCATCCTCCTAAGTTTTTCATGTTCATTATTATTTAAGTGTGTTTCTTGTAAGTATACTATCTGTGCTCGATCTTTCTTCATTTTAGTCAAAATTCTACTTCGCTTAATAGGATTCGTGAGCCCGTTCACATTAAAGGATATAACCTTAATTCCCTTAGCACTTAGCATTTTCCGAAATAAAGTATCCAAACTTAAGTAACTTATCGACTGGTAAACTCCCTTTAAAAACCCGAGCAATGAACAACAACAACCGTCCAAAACCGGACAAACCCCCCCCAAAAAACAAAAAAAAAAAACACAAAAATTTTTTTAATCATTTAGTAAGGGGAAAGTATTTGTTATCTCACCCACTTCGACAGAACAGTATATCTCCATTAATCTCCTGTCGTAGAGGGGGAGCACCTTCTAGAAAGCTGAAGCTGCTCACGAATGGGTCTTTCTCTGTGTCCCTCCGAGTCACACCGCTGCGACATTCCCGTCTTCTCCCACATCAAATTTGACAGCTGCTCCGTTAGGGTCTGCTTCGGGACGACTTTAGCGATCTGGAATCCCCTTGTCCGCATATCCGCCGTCGCTTCCTCCGCAGTCGAGTAGAGCCCAGTTCCCTCTTGATAGAAGACCCTCAATTTGGCAGGATAGGGCATCTGGAATCTTATGTTCTGTTGTTTCAGATCTCTTTTAGCTTCAGCGTAGTCCTTACGTTTTCGCAGGATAGCTGGCGCGTAGTCTTGATCGAAATATATTCTCTGACCGTTCAGCAGAACAGTCCTCTTGGCCCACGCTTTGCGCAGAACTTCTTCCTTTGTGTCAAAGCGGGCAAAACAGATCAATATCGAACGTGGGGTTCCCTCTCGGTTCCTCACTGCTCCCAGAGCCCGGTGTGATCTCTCGATACTCGGGAGGTCGAGGCATTCCGTCAATACTTTTTCCACAAAAACTGGCATCGAAGACCCTTCTGCTCCTTCGGGGACATTATACAGCCTCAGATTCTTTCGCCAGGCCCAGCTATCCTGATCCGCGATTTTATTTTCTTGCTCGCCGATAATTTTTAGCATGTTTAGCATCACCTGTTCCACGTTTTGGACCCGGTCTTCCATCTTCGCGATACGGGTTTCTGCTTCGGTTATCCTATTATTGGCTCTGACCAAGTCTGATTTAAATTCTTGGAACTCTCTCCGAAAGTCCCGTAGTTCTTCCAGTATCGTGATCAAAGCCAAGCCTTCATCCGTGTTAGCCCTAGCATTGGCTTCATGTCGAGGTGGCGATGCCGCTGCCGAAAACCCTTCGTTTACGCGTTCTTCTGCCGAGCCTTTCTGTTTATCCCTTTTCCCCATGTTCACCCCGCTTATACCTCTACTATCTATCAAAAATTGGTAATAATTATGACACTTCACGGGGTGAACGACTTAATTATGAGAGAGAGCTACTCGTTAGACTGCCATGCGTTGGGATGACGTCACCGGAACCGGCCAAATTATCTATCCTAAGTAAGCATAACTTTGTTTTTTCGAGACAATGAGTTTGCATACTTTTCCTGCTAACTCATTACTGTACAGCTTTTCATTTTTTTCCTTCTGATTATCGAATTAGAGGTTCAGGTGATGAGGAAGAAATTAAAATATTCAGTCAAAGTAGCTTCATGGCTCCATCTAGTGGACTGATAGTAGAAGTAGAGCAGCTGATGGCAGCTTCCTCTGCCTCACACTGCTGTCTGACTGCATTCAGCTGACACTGAGATGAAGCAGAAAAGAAGCAGCTGATATTTGGCCAGCACACATGATGGAAAGGAGGATTTCAGTTGATGTGCACATGAATGATTTGTGTTTCCTCGGAAGGTGAAGGTAGAAAGTGTGTGTGAGCTGACGTCAATTCAGCAGCATGGATCAGTGTGAGGACAGAGAGGAGGGAGCCCCTCCCTCTAAAACCACTCTGTGTGGGGAACATGAGAGCCAGACCAAAGCTCAGAGGTGAGATGACCATCTCTAACTGTCCATGACTCTTCTCCATGTCACAGCTCAGCACTCACATCACTGCTCCATCATTATTCACAGGAACCAACCTGGACCTGAACCCAGCTGTGTGTCCTTAAAGAGCAACTTCTCAAAAGGTATCGGTGAAGATTTTATGGGACAACATTCTCCACCTGAAAGGTAACCTGTAAATGTCTTTACTCTTTTTTACACATACATTTTTGTGTTCATGTGCTACACGGTCTGTGTTAAAGTTTGTTTTTGTTTTAATAAGAATACCTTAGCCTTTCTTAACAAACATAAGTTGTGTTGTTTGTCCTTTCAACAGTGGCAGGACACACTTCACTCCCAGAAGCTGTAAACAACGAAACAATCAACATATTTTGACACAAAACACTCAGTTTTTTAAAAAGAAAAAAAAATCTTCCAGTTATAATGATAGTGAATAATAAATATTATAATGTTATTGAACCTTGTATATTGGAAAAAAAAATTCAAGGACAGAGTCTTGGAGTGCAGGAGTGCCTCTCACATTGATGAATCACAGTGTAACTGCAGTAGCATTTGTAGTTCTGATGTGTGAGATGACCACCTCTGACTGTCCATGACTCTTCTCCATGTCATAGCTCAGCACTCACATCACTGCTCCATCATTATTCACAGGAACCAACTTAGACTTGAGCCTTGGCCTATACCTGAACCCAGCTGTGTGTCTTTAAAAAGCAACTTCTCAAAAGGTATTGGTGAAGATTTTAGACAACAGCATTCTCCAGCAGAGAGGTAATTTGCTTTTTAAATAAATGTTCAACTCTTTTTACACACATTTGAGTGAATAATAATAATAATAATAATAATAATAATAATACCTTAGTCTTTCTGATCAAAGCTGTCCTTTCAGCTGCAGCTAGGTTTGTTTTTAAATAATCAATCAAAAATTATGTTAAATAATGAATTATCAGTAATAAATATTAATAATAATGTTATTGACCATTAAATATATTTACAAGTACAGAACCTCAGAGTGCAGGAATGCATCTCTGGTTTTCTGGGTGATGTGCTGTTCTAGCGGCACACAGTAAATGAACTGGAGTGTATGCAAGTCTGATGTGTCAAAGAGGTTGAGTCCCCTCATTAAACTTGAAATCTCTAAATAATGGCTTTAATATTTAGTCCTATTATAGCTTATAAAGTACAGAGTTTAGAAATATACACACATGTGATTTTTTAAATTGTAATTTTTTTTTAAATTCTGTATTATCATTAACTGATCTAACACAGTAACTGTTAAAACCAGGAAATCAATGTGGAGCAACAAGAGTCAAAAAAAGTGATCTCAGCGGGAGTGGAAACTATTTCTGTGGGGTTATTACAACCACAGGGAGTCACTTGCTTCAATGTTTTGTCAAAATATCAGTTACTACATACACTTTGAACTAATCATGATTTCTCCACAGAGTGGACACGAAGACCTCGGTGGTTCCCAGTGGTCATTCTGCACAGCAGCAGAATCCAAAACACCTGGACTCCATATTTATGGTCTGTACATGTACAACAACTACTGTATTTTTACATCTATTCTGTTCACAGTCATCTACATGATGCTGTTTATAGACCAGTGCAATGTCAGTGTTTCATGGATCTTATATTGTGGTCCACAATTTCAGTCTAACTGGTTTATTAATGCAGTGTTGTGTTCCAGCTGCTGGAGGAAAACATTATCACTTTTGTGAAGAATGAGTTGAAGAAGATCCAGGAGGTTCTGAATCCCGGTTACGGGCAAAACCCAGAGCGTCAGAAGAAGGATGAGGAGGTGTTAGACACTGAGAATCAAGAGCAGGGGAACAGCAGCAGAGAGGCATTTGTGAAAATCACACTGCACTTCCTGAGGAGAATGAAGCAGGAGGATCTGGCTGACTGTCTGCAGAGCAGTAAGAAGATTTCTCTCAATATTTAAACTGCTCCATAAATGTGATAAAGAAAGTTTGCAAAAGAATCTATGCAGTCCTGTGAAAAATGATCATACTTATTGCTGGAGCATTCAGGTGTGTTTTAAGACGTTGCCAGAGTCTTAACAAGAGTGGATGTCTTATAAAATTTATACAGTCATGTTACGTAAGGCCCCAAATGGGCGCCGTGCAAGAAAGTAGTAGCTCTAATATTGACCAGTAAGGATACACGCACACTGCAATGGGGTACACAAGAGTTTTTTCCTCAGAGTCAAACTACTGGCTGAGACAACTCTGGCCAGGAATCCAAGGCCCAAAGCCGCCACGGTCAGGGTTGTAAGCCTGGTTACAAACAGGGGAAAGGTGGTCACTTGGAAGAACAAGCAGCCAAAAACATATCAATCCTGCATCTTCCTCAGAAAGGTGTCATTTGAGGTTGGGCCTCCACATTAAAATCCTGGGGCTTCCACTCTCGAGCTGAAATTTCCCAAAAACTTGTCCAGTTTCCTTTTCATGGGCACAGAGAGTCTCCAATCCAGTGTTCTTTCTCCCAGCAGATCCACACAAATCCCATTTAAAATGAGTCCTCCCTCCAACATCCTCAGATTATTTTAAAAGCAAAACCAGGCCAGGTTAAAAATATTTTCTTTAAAATGTGCACACTTATTTTTGGAGTCTCCGAGGCTTCCCTGCTGCACCAGTGTCCTACAACCCCCCCTTACTGTTTCCTTCCTGAGAAGGGCTCCAGTCCTGAAATACACTGGCTAATGATGATGATTGGGGACCAGTGAAAACACAGCTGAACATAATGAAACAGAAAGTAGAACTAATGACACTTAGACAGAGGGCTGGCATGGTGAAGTACCCCCCCCCCCCCCCCCTTTCAAAGGCCAGTACCCGGCGGCCCAAAGAAAATACACCAGAGGGGGCAGAGGGGGTCCGAGACGAAGGGACAGAGTCCAAATATGAACAGTTCAGGGGGGCGGCCACAGGAAGGCAGCAGCGGCAACTTAGCAGATCCAGAGGCCGACCACGCCGGTGACAAGGTCCAGTCAGCGGCCTGCAAGGTGGCCGCCAATGTCAAATCGGATGTGGGCGAGGAGGTAGCATGGGAATCGCTGGACTAGAAGAACCATGACCAGATAGCAACAGGGCAGCTGCAGGCGACGGCATGGGAGCCGGCGGTGGCGGAGCAGCTGCAGGTGACGGTGTGGGAGCTGGCGGTGCAGGGCCAGTAGGGGCGGAAACCTTTGCCTGAAGAACTGAACAAGAGGATGAATGAGTGACAAGGCCAGAGACTGGATAGGAGATTGGGCAACGGGCGACTGAGGTACGGGAGAGTGGACTACAGACCTGACTGACTGGACTACAGGTGACGGGAGGACAGTCTCCTCCTGTCCTCCCGTCACCTGTAGTCCAGTGACTGGGCTACAGGTGACGGAACAGAAGGAGACTGGACTGTCTGGCTGGAGACTGGCAGGCAACTGGAGGACGGGAGACTGAGCTACAGGTGACTGTGTTACTGTTGGTGAGGTTAATGGCTGAGCTGATGGTTGGGTTAGAGATGGTGACAGTGCTGCAGCCTGAGATAATAAACCGGGTGCTTGAGCTGGGAATAGGTCTGTCAACTTAACCAGGGATTGAGCTATGGTGTGAAAAGATGGATGAGGAGGTGGATGAAGTGGTAGACTGGCACGTGGAGAGGCTAGCTCTTCCGAGCCTCTAGGGAGGTCAGCCTGGATTCTGGCTGCGCTGGGACAGGCACAGAAGGTGGCTGGACACCAGTCATCCCCACCTGAGAAACAGGAATGGTTGTGGAGGTAGACTGGGTCACAGCTGCCCTCGTCCTGGGAGCTGGCACAGGAACAGGCAATAGCTGAACATTAACTGCCCTCACCTGAGCAGGATGAAGAGAATGGCGGACTTTGAGGTACCTTGCTAACAGGAAAAGGCTGAACTATTGATGAGGAGATTTTGATTGAGTGGGAGAAATTATCTGATCTAGTGGTGTGAATGTCATTAGTAACGTCCTGGGATAATGAAACAGTCTCTTTGGAAGAGGGGATCAGACTTCTCAGCATCGCTGTGAATGTCTATGCCAGGGCGCTGAAGAGGTTAGTTGAGTCTCAAATAAAGGAAGAACAATGTTGTTTTCAACCTGGTCAAAGAACACTAGACCAGCTCTTTATCCTCCTGAGGATATTTGATGGTACGTAGGAGTTTGCATTCATGTTTTGTGGAATTAAAGAAGGCATTTGACTGCATCCCTTGGAGTATCCTGTGGGGAGTAGCTCAGGTGTATTGAGTGTCTGGCTTGTTGCTACAAGCCATTCATTCCCCATATAACAGTTACATGAACTTGTTCTGCATTGCCAGCAATAAGCTGAACTTGTTCCCAGAGTGTGTCGGACTCCAGCGGCCGTCCTTTTGTCACTTGAATCCTGTTCAGAATTCTTATGCACAGAATTTCTAGACATAGCCAGATGGCAGAAGGATTCCACTTTGATAGCCTCAGAATTTCTGTTGGGTACATCAGGCGGTGGCATCCAGCTCAACCTGGAGGGTTTAGTGTTGAGTTTGAAGCACACTGTGGATGTTGTCACTTACAGAATAATTTCTTGGCACTGATCCCATGAATACCAGTGAATCTGGATTTTTTTTCATTGCATTAAGTTTCTCATCTCAAGCTGACAGATCAGACCTCCACATGTTTTATTGTTTTTCTTGTAATCTGTTAGTCTTTTTCATATGAACATTGATTCCAGTTTGTTTGTTTTTTTACTCAAGTCAGAGTGAGTGTCTTGGGGAAAATTATATTCAGCACATGTGTTATTTGAGCCCAAGTATCTTTAAAAAAAATTTCCACTTATATTTATATATTTGTTCACTCCTCCACTGCAGCTGAGCCAGGGACCACACCTCCGCCACAATATTCTACTAATTATAATTTTTTTGTAGAATTTTTTTAAACAGTCATCACTTCCATGGAAACACTTTGGAAAACAGCATCTCTTCTGGCTTCCTCATTGGAGCCCGGACAGTACTATTCATTTCTCCATAGTGAGACTTTCTCTTTAGTGACCTCCTGACCCAGTATGAACCTTCCAGATCCCTCAGGTCATCTGGATCCGGTCTTTTATCAGTTCCCAGAGTCAGAACCAGACACGGAGAAGCTGCATTCAGCTTTTATGCTCCTTATATCTGGAACAAACTCCCAGAAAGCCTCAGATCAGCTGAAACACTCAGTTTATTTAAATCCAGGTTGAAGACTCACCTATTCTCAGCTGCATTTGAATAAAGCACCAAATCCACACTTTTAAGCTTAAATTTCAAAACTTACATTTAACTACTGATTTTATCTGTTTTGATTTCATATACTGTTTTGTTTGTTTGTTTGGTAATTAGTTAGTTAGTTTGTTTGCTTGTTTTAATCAATTTTAAATCATGCTTTTTATTTGTTTTTGTTTCTAATGTCTCTGTATAGCACTTTGAATCACCTTGTTGTTGAATTGTGCTATACAAATAAACTTGCCTTGCCTTATTTTTTGCCTTAGAAGTGCAGGCTTTTCTCTTAGAAAAATCATCATCAGTTTCTCTGCTTCACTGTAATGTGTTTTGTTATATAAGAAATGTGAGTCGGTCAGTATGCAGACACTGTTTAAATTCTCTACAGATTGCACAGTTGCACAAACATACACATGGCAATGAGAACAAAATATACCAAAAAAATAGACTAGTATGCACGTTAGAGATTATTAGGCAGAGGCTCTGAAACAATAGAGTACAACAGTAGATCGTATTATTGTATGATCTACTGTACAATATAAAGCGCCTTGAGGCGACTGCTGTTGTGATTTGGTGCTATATAATTAAAATTGAATAAAATTGAATTGAATTGAATAGATCCCATGGTAATTTTGTGTGAGAAATCATTGTTTGCATAAGGCACAGTTTGTGTTTAGAGAAAACTAAACACAGTACAGGAGCACAAATGCCTCATACCAACTGTGAAGCACAGACCTGGGCACCTTGCAGTCATTAAATTAGCCATGAACTCCTCTTTATAAAAAGTTATTCTAGAGACAAATTCTCAAAATGATGATAACTGTCCAGAAGCTAAAACTTGGCCACAATTGGGCCATAGACAAGGGCAGCAGCAAATCAAATATGGCTCAGTAAAATTCAACTCACGAGTGGACTGAAGCATTGAAGCACTTTACACAGTTTTTCACAGGACTGTATATTTATGATAATAATTATCTTGAGGAATGGGATGTTGGGATTATTTAAGTACTATAATTCATTTATTTGACTTATTTGTTGTGTATTTTTCAGAAATGTTTGCTCCACTTTATCAGCATAACCTAAAATCTAAGCTGAAGAGGAAGTTCCAGTGTGTCTTTGAGGGGATCGCTAAAGCAGGAAACCCAACCCTTCTCAATCAGATCTACACAGAGCTCTACATCACAAAGGGAGGGACTACAGAGGTCAATCAAGAACATGAAGTTAGACAGATTGAAACAAGAGCCAGGAAACCAGACAGAGAAGAAACAACAATCAGACAAGAAGACATCTTTCAAACCTCACCTGGAAGAGAGAAACCAATCAGAGCAATGCTGACAACAGGGGTGGCTGGTATTGGGAAAACAATCTTAACTCAGAAGGTAACTGTGGATTGGGCTGAAGAAAAAGCCAACCAGGACATCCAGTTCATGTTTCCATTCACTTTCAGAGAGCTGAATGTGCTAAAAGAGGGAAACTTCAGTTTGATGGAACTTGTTCATTATTTCTTTACTGAAATCAAAGAAGCAAGAATCTGTAGCTTTGAAGATTTCAAGGTTGTCTTTATTTTTGATGGTCTGGATGAGTGTCGACTTCCTCTGGACTTTTGCAATACAGAAATCCTAACTGACCCAAGAAAGTCCACCTCAGTAGATGTGCTGCTGACAAATCTCATCAGAGGTGATCTGCTTCCTACTGCTCGCCTCTGGATAACCACACGACCTGCAGCAGCCAATCAGATCCCTGCTGAGTGTGTGGACATGGTGACAGAGGTCAGGGGGTTCACTGACCCACAGAAGGAGGAGTACTTCAGGAAGAGATTCAGAGATGAGCGGCTGGCCAGCAGGATCATCTCCCACATCAAGACATCACGAAGCCTCCACATCATGTGTCACATCCCAGTCTTCTGCTGGATCACTGCTACAGTTGTGGAGGATGTGCTGAAAACCAGAGAGGGAGGAGAGCTGCCCAAGACCCTAACTCAGATGTACATCCACTTCCTGGTAGTTCAGGCCAAAGTGAAGAAGGTCAAGTACGATGGAGGAGTTGAGACAGATCCACACTGGAGTCCAGAGAGCAGGAAGATGATTGAGTCTCTGGGAAAACTGGCTTTTGATCAGCTGCAGAAAGGAAACCTGATCTTCTATGAATCAGACCTGACAGAGTGTGGCATCGATATCAGAGCAGCCTCAGTGTACTCAGGAGTGTTCACACAGATCTTTAGAGAGGAGAGAGGACTGTACCAGGACAAGGTGTTCTGCTTTGTTCATCTGAGTGTTCAGGAGTTTCTGGCTGCTCTTCATGTTCACCTGACATTTGTGAAGTCTGGAGTCAATCTGATGGAAGAAAATCAAAAAGCCTCCCAGAAATTTAAAACAAGAAAACCTGGAAAGAAACATTTCTACCAGAGTGCCGTGAACAAGGCCTTGCAGAGCCAAAATGGACATCTGGACTTGTTCCTCCGCTTTCTTCTGGGTCTTTCGCTTCATAATAATCAAAGTCTTCTGCAAGGACTGTTGGCACAGACATCAAATAGCTCACGGACAAATCAAATTCTGTCACAATGTTTGTTGACGCTGACTGGAAGTAGCTCACAGACCAATAGAAAAGCAGCTCAGTATATAAAAATGAGGCTCAGTAGGAATCTGTCTACAGAGCAAAGCATCAATTTGTTCCATTGTCTCAATGAACTGAATGATCGTTCTCTGGTGAAGAAAATCCAACAATCGTTGAGTTCACAACGTTTTTCCACAGATAAACTGTCTCCTGCTCAGTGGTCAGCTCTGGTCTTCATGTTACTGTCATCAGAAGAAGCTCTTGAAGTGTTTGATCTGAAGAGTTACTCTGCTTCAGAGGAGGTTCTTCTGAGATTGTTGCCAGTGATCAAAGCCTCCAACAAATCTCTGTATGTACACATATACTACAATATATTCATTAATGAATATACTAGTTCTTTTATGAAAATTAAGGCACTGGACATCATTATCATCAAGGTTTGAGTTAAATCATGTTAAGCCCTGGCCTAGGGGAAACCCAAAGCGCAACATGCAGATGGCTCCCCTGCTCCCCGAGGAAAGGTACAGCAGGACTTGTAATTTCAAACACAGGACATTTTATTTCCCTTTAGCCATAGAAATCAGGGTGGGCATTGCAAAAACAATAAACAAAACATTCTAGAAAGGAAACTCAGCAAACTTATGTACCTATCACAAGAAGCAAAAAGAAAATACAGGCCTCTGACCTGTCTTCCTAACCTAAACCTAAGGGAGAAAAAGGCTTTAAAAGAAAAAGGCTTTCCACCCCTACAGCTACCAGATCAATCTCTACAAAACCAAAACATTATTTACAATATATATAAAAAAATAACGAATCTGGCTCTTCGAGATAAAGGAAAACTTCATTACCCAATACACTCACAATACACAACTAAATACACAGCACGGCCTGCTACACTGATGGGTTCCAATTTATAGTCTTATTCAGTCTAAAGTCTTTTATATAAATTAATAAGTTTATATCACTCGATTTTTTTTTTAGAAATATTCTACCACATTTTCAACCAGATATACATGTTTCTTTATATTTCTCTCCATATTTATGTTTCTTCAGACTGAGCAACTGTAACCTTTCAGAGAGAAGCTGTGAAGCTCTGTCCTCAGTCCTTAGATCCCAGTCCTCCAGTCTGAGAGAGCTGGACCTAAGTAACAACAACCTAATGGATTCAGGAGCGAAGATGCTGTTTGCTGAACTGAAGAGTCAGCACTGTACACTGGAAACATTAAGGTCGGATGTGTATGTTTGTAAAATAAATTTTAAAATCTTACTTCTTGCATACAAGTGTGTCCATAAATCTGCTCCTTCATATTTGTGTGACCTGCTCCATATTACCACTGTTTCCCGCACTCTCAGATCATCATCTGCTATTCATCTTACTGTTCCGTCATCACACCTTATCACTATGGGGAACAGAGCTTTCAGTCGCTCTGCTCCTCGGCTCTGGAACTCTCTTCCTCCTGCACTAAGAAATATTGACTCCCTCTCCGTATTTAAGACACAGCTCAAAACACATCTGTTTAAACTGGCTTATTCGCTCTAGTGCTGATTTTATCTGTTGTCACACTCTGTTTTGTAATTTTAACTTATTTTATGTATTTTATGACTATTGTTCCTTTTATTAATTGTGTTTTTGTAAGGTGACCTTGGGTTTCTGAAAGGCGCCCTCAAATAAAATGTATTATTATTATTATTATTATTGTATTAGAGAGAGTGAGAGAGACATTATTTTTACTATTAAATTCATTAGTTTCTAAGACATAGCTAAAACAAGTGTCTACATCTTCTACATATTTATATTATTGTATTTTTTTTCAGATTAAGTATGTGCAACCTCTCAGAGAGAAGCTGTGAGGCACTTTCCTCAATTCTTGGACTATATCCCACATCTTTAAAAGAGCTGGACCTGAGCAACAATGACCTGAAGGACTCAGGAGTAAAGATGTTTTCTGCTGGACTGAAGAGTCCACAATGTACATTGGAAACTCTAAGGTAATGTTGAGCTCTATTTATATTGTTTGAGAAAATTAACCACTAAGAATTGTTACCAATACAATTCAAAGGCTCAAACGCGTCCACAAAACCAAGTTAGCAGGCAATTAAACTTTATATATGTTAGATGTCAGTATAACTAAATTTTGAAGCAGCATATAAGTATTGTTTAGTGGCTGTAGAATTTTGCTCAAAGCATCAATGTGTCTTAACTGTAACACAGATGAACATCTACAAAACATATATTCACAATATATTCACATTTCTAACTCACCAACTCCCTTACTCAGTGACTGTTTAATTATATGTTGGAAACAGTTTTCTCTTATATTATTCACAGCAGAAAACAATTCTTTCAGAGAACCTGTGATATGAATTGGTTTATGTGTCTGCAGGCTTTCAGGTTGTTTGATCACAGAAGAAGGAAGTAATGATTTGGCTTTAGCTCTGAGCTCCAACCCCTTCCATCTGAGAGAACTGGATCTGAGCTACAATCATCCAGGATACTCAGCAGTAAAGCTTCTGTCTTCTGGAGTGAAGGATCCACATTGGAATCTTGACACTTTGAGGTATAGAGAGAGCTGCCGCAACAAATTCATGCTGCAAAACTTGCCAAATCCTCAAAGAAGATTTGGCAAGTTTTTATGGGTGCAACCTCAATTCTCCTCCTTAACCCACAGATACCTTTTTCTTATGGTACAAATATGGTACCATTTAAGGGGAAATCAAATGGTTTTCCATACAAGATTTACTGCCAAGAAGCATTGTACAACAAGGAAATAATCGTTTAAATACAAATTTCCTCACTTTTTGTGCTACGTTTAAATTTTCTGTCACCAAAGTGACAAAGAATATATTTGCCATGGGTCAGTACAACAAATAAAAAAAGATGTATGTGAAAACATTTGGTTAACTAGTCTGGATTAGTTCAAATGTTGTGCTCTTCTGTCATCACTGTCTAACAGTATGTGTATGACAGTGATGTAGTGTTCATGTGTGCATGCTGAAAGAGACTGTGCTGGTCTGACCCTCCTCCTCCTTTCAGGGTGGAGCCTGCTGGAGTCCGATGGTTGAGACCAGGTCTGAGGAAGTGTAAGTGTGTTTTTAATGTGATTCATGAAAACAAAGCAGCACACATTCAACCATCTTCAACAGATGTTTATTATGTTTGTTCCCTCCATCAGATGCCTGTGAACTTACAATTGACATGAACACAATTAGCAGAGAACTTCATCTGTCTGACAACAACAGGAAGGTGACACGTGGACGACCATTTCAGTCATATCCTGATCATCCAGAAAGATTTGAACGGCCTCAGTTTCTGTGTCGTGATCCCCTGAGGGGTCGCTGCTACTGGGAGGTTGAGTGGAGAGGATATTCTGATCTATCTGTAAGTTACAGCAAAATCAAAAGGAAAGGAAGAAATAATACTGGTGCATTTGGATGGAATGATCATTCCTGGAGTTTGTGGTTCTCTGAAAGTAATCCTTACTGTGTCTCTTACAATAACAAAAAAACACATATCTCCTCCTCCTCCTCTGTGTCTAACAGAGCAGCAGTGTATGTGGACTGTCCTGCTGGCACTCTGTCCTTCTACAGAGTCTCCTCTGACACTCTGATCCACCTCCACACCTTCAACACCACATTCACTGAACCTCTTTATCCTGGATTTACACTCTGGGATAGAGCATCAGTGAGTCTGTGTGTAGTTTAGTATAAAGAGTGTCTTCTTGTTATAAATATACTCAGCTGAATCAGAGTACAGTTAAGTCTGTAAATATCTATCTATTTCACTTAGACACACATTTTCAGATTCCTGGATTAAGACAAATTTAAAAACTGCTCAGAGACATTCACACATTATTACCTAAAGAAGTTTTCGTTCACCCTATTTTTATTCATACTCACTCTTACAATACTGAAATGATAACTATGCTGTAACCTGTTTGTGATGTATAAATAACCAGGAAATTATTGTTATGTTACAAATGATGTTTACATTTTTGCAGTTGTAGACAATGTTCCTTGTTTTTTACACTGCACCTATTTATATAATATGTATTTGGTGTTTAAAACAAAATGCTGTGTTGTGTTTTTTTAGCCAAAATCTGAACAAATTAGAAAACATCTTAAAACTGAGACCTTCGGTTGCCTTTAACAGCCTGTTGACTCGGTTGTTTATAAACAACCAGGGATCAATTTCATATGAACAAAAACAAAAAGAAAAGAAATGACAGCTAAGGTTACTCACAGTTGCCTTGCCCCAATGTTTAACTTCTAGTCTCTTAATCTAATGTTATCTTTTAAATAAAGTGCACAAATGACTAATATCACCAAATATGTAACTCCACCCGGGGTAACTAGGAACAGACCCATACAAGTTCAACCCAAACTTGCCTGAACCTAAGTGGAGGGCTTTTTTCTTTCTTTAAAAATCTGTGAATATTTTACACATTTGCATTACAATGGCCGATAATTATTTTCCTCCAATTAAATAAATTGTTTCCACTCATTCTTTCTGAGGTTTAAGTAATTAATCCAACACTTCTCCACTTCTTATTCTGGCTGGTTTCTGTGATTGAAAGAGTAACAGTGAAAATAATATCTTAAGATTTTTAATTAATTGATGTTGTAATTGTAATTCCAGATCATTTTTCTCACTCACTTATTATTGCATTACTTTATATACTGAAGGTGAATTTATATCAGCTTATTACTTGTTTAATTTTTCAATAAAATGGTGTCATATGACAAAGATCAGCTGTTTGGATGTCACTGTTTTTCTATTTATCTGTGGCTGCAGCTGCAGACTCTTCCTCACTGATCAGTTTGCAGACTGTTTACTCAAAACATTGATTTGTCTGGTAAATACCAGCAATCGCTGAAAGGTTCCCACTGTTTGTTTTAGCGGGACAACAATACGAAAGCTTCAAATAATCCGATTACAGCCAGGGATGATAAAATAAAAACTTCAAAACAGTTAAGAGCTTCAACATGCAGATGATTGGAAGATGATTCAACAATTATCAGAACAGATCCAGATTAATTTTCTGGTATAAACAAGAAAACATCACTTCACTGGTTGCTTTAATTCTGTCACAATATAAACATTGAGACCGAAATCACAGAAGAACCCAAGATCGAGTAACATGCGGTGACCATCAGATTGATCTCTATTCTCTGTCCCAAGTAGAAAAAAATATACCGCATTGCTTTTCACAAAATAAAGGCACCAAACATCAAAGGAACATCAGAGGCACTAGCGTTACTATTTCTTAGGGTGCCCCACTCCACTTCAGTTTCAGCTTCAGCCTGAACAACAGTCAGTCAGCTTCATTCAATCCAGAGCCAGCAACATAGTTTAGATTGGAGAAATCCTCATTCACACAGGTTTACTTCAAGAATTATTTTCACGTTGTTCTTATTAACCTGGTGAACATGGCGCGAAGGGCTAATTCTACATCAGAAAATCAAAAGGATTGACATCATCTGGTCAAATACACACATAACTAATGCATAACTCAATACTCAACAAACCACACACAAGCAAAACATCACAACAGCTTTGTCTCTCTAACCAGATTCTGATCAGGTTGCCCCTCATCTTTAAGTCCTCCTAATAGTGGTACTTATGTACGACACAATCCTGGTAACAGTGACGGAAACCCTGTGACCCCACCTGCAGTATCAGATATGCCCAGACAGTAACTCTGGCGATTTTCATCCATTTTTATGGAAACAACCTGCCAAACAAATTCCAAAGGGCAGCGGCAGTTTTATCACAAATCACGGTTATAGTGTTATGATTGACTTTTGAGGTGTCAGAGGTCACAGCCTGGCCCAAACACTGAACAAGACACTGTAAGCAACATGGGGTGGTAACTGAGAAGATAAACTATAAGCAACTCAAAAAGATGTTTACTTATCAGGAAATATCTGATGTGTGAAAACTATATGGCTGCGTGGCAGTGTGCACAAAGAACAAAAGGATGAGCATGCTGTTGCAGAAGTCAGTCTCAGCACAGCATGATGAAGGATGTCTCGGGTCCTAAAATGTGTCACAGTGGGAGATGAAGCCATTATGAAGGATGCACAGTTGTACCCTTTAGAAGTATTTTTACCTTCTCAATGTGGAAGAACAGAGGAATGAAAAGTCTTTAAACAGCTACTGCATAAACAGATCACCTGATGTCACAATGCTTCATGTTATGAATTCTGTTTAAAGCGACTGTAAATATGAAACACGTCGTGTCACACCTGAGCTCGTAAAATACAGCAAACAAAACTGTCCATGCTGTAGTTAACAATCCTCCCTCTTTATTTCGCTTCCTCCGCCTCCTCCACTCAGAGCTCTGGTGGGAGGGACTAAGAGGATTCGTGATCTTTGCTGAGTTTTGTGAGTAGGCTTCCGGGACGAGGCTCATTGTAATGACTGAATCCTCGCAGCTGGAAGCTTTTTAAAGACAGGTGAGTGGCTGAGATCAGAGGTGTGATTATAGTGTTAAGTGGCCGTTTTTGTGCGTCCACAATATGATATATTATTACTGTTACTCATTGCGTCATGTTCCGAAGGAGGATAAACATCTTTGTAATGTTTTCTAGTGTCTCAGTCTGCAGTTTTAGCAGTCTCAATGACATTTTCTGGGTGTCACGTGTTTTTCTGTGACCTGCCCCGCGGTGCGTGGGCTCCGTTTGGCTTGTTTCGTGTTTTCAGTGTCTACAGACCTCTCTCTCTCTCTGCTTGTTTCTGGGCAGCTGTTCAGTTTCGGTTGCTCACCGGAAATGTTTCTGAACGGACTGGACAGGTGAGTCTGCGCAGCCGCAGTTGAAGGTGTCCGAGTTCTCTGAAAGAAAACACACCTGTTAAATGCACCGAGTGTCTCACGCCCACATCCGCTGATCTGTTTTCACTGAGGTGGGCGGGGAAGCCCCGTGACGGCCCGCGGGGAAAACACACCGGGTTTATCCAGGATGATGAAATTCTGAAAGTTTGCCTCCTGCTTCCTATAAATACAAGAGAAGAGCCCTTTGTTGTCATTTTACATGTAGAACGAAAGTGTAGATGCGCCACACCAACTGTGCAAGAATATAAAACTACTAGTAGACAGTGGGAATAAATGGAAATCAGGAGAGAAATATAGTTATTAAATCAAGAGAAATGTATCGAAAAAATAAGAAAGGCGAACTTTGGAAAACAAAATAGTTGCAAAGTGCCTTGAGAAAGTGCAAAGAAAAGACACGAAAAGTCCGTGTGTGAGTGGCCTGAGTGATGAAGGTTATAACTCAGTTACATTTACTGACACTAATTCCATTAAAAACATGATTAAAAATATTAAACTGCACACAGAGCAACAAGATAAGCTGAGCAAAGTTAACACACTGATGCTCAGCTGCATCAAATTTTATGGAAACTTTTATAGATGTAAGGATTTAAAATGTTTCCAGAAAGTCTCTCATTAGATGTTTTTGGTTGATTTAAAGTCTGTGATGTTGCTGTGGTGGCCGCTTTTCAAAAATCCAAGTACTGATCAAAAGTCTGTATACACAAACGTCCTACTGATTTTAAAGCTGAGGTGGCCACAGCACAGCTGGATTCTGTCAAACCAGCAACAAAAGCTAACATAAAGTCAGTCAGCTTGAAACCAGATTCATTTTGTGTTAAAACAATAATTTTACTATAAAATCAGCTTCATGCTTCCTTTTAATATTCCATGATTCATGACTGAACCTGAGGGTTCTTTTTAGGAAATTATGAGGAGAGCTTGGGTGAAATAACGTGGAGAACACATGAGCTCTCATGCAACATGTGTGTAATAGATATATAACAGCTGGTTATCTGGTTCAGACTAACATCCTGCAGTTTCCTGTTACCATCACCATCAGTGACATCTATGGCAGTAATGAGCTGAATATTTCTGAATGGAAAGCATTATGAACGCTGCAGCTTATATACGTCTGTGACATGGAGACAGTCGTATTAGTGCGTTCATGACATTTTGTTTTTTGTCACCATCATTTCTCAGAATGATGACCTGCAGGTCCACGAGGAGCCACCATGAGTCCGCCCATTGTGTTTGACAGACAACCTTCTGAAAACATGATGTAAGTCAGCATTATGCATTTCTGTATAATGAACGGTAACTTGTTTTTAACTCCACACAGAATCTTTTACAGAAGACTTCACTGATGTGTATGTGGTCCTACAGTAGAAACATTGCTTTATTTTGTATGTTTCAGTGTTCATAAAGCATTTTCCTTTCAGAGCTGTTTTTCCTTGTTTCACTCCAGACTGTAACTGATGATTATTTCATCGTGGATTTATAATTGATCTGCTGATTCCTTGTTTGCTTGAATAAAAACTATCACAAAGTGCTGTCTTCAGATGATAATTAAGATCAAGATCAAATCCAGTGCAGTAGAAGTAACTCAGAGCTGCAATGAAGCACTACTCGCTGAACTAGTTACTTAGTTACTTCTATCTTTTATGTATTTTCTTGTCAACTACTTGACAGACAATCAGACAATGATGGTTGCCGTCTTTCCAGTTATCTTCTGGTCTCTTCCAGGGTTTACCAGAGGTCAATTTCTCTTGAAGCAGATTCTGGAGTCAGCTGTTTGTCTTTGAAGAGTAATGAGTCAAAGGCCGAACCTCTCCCTTTTAAAGAAGGCCTTTGCTGTGCTGAGCACAGGCAAGCTATTTCTAACATTCACGTTTTAGCTCAAGACATCCTGATCAGCTTTACTGTTTCTTAAGTGTTGATTTCTTGACTAATGATAGTTAATACGATACAGGAAGCTCAGTAAAGCATCACGGGTAATGCTCCATGGTTGTCTTCTAACAGGATCCATCACAGATCATCAGAGGCTGAGTCTAAACTCAGCTGTTTGTCCTTGAAGAGCAACGAGTCAAAGTCTGACCCTCTGCTGTTTAAACCAGGAGTCTGCTGTCCTGATCCCAGTCTGAGGTGAGGTCTTCAAACTGCTTCAGTTCTGACCTGCAGACACAGTAAAATACATTTAACCTCCTAAGACCCGAACTCTTCCACGGCATGCATTTTTAATTTCTCTTTGATAGTTGGGCATATTGGGGCCCGATGAACGTAAATACAAAGAATTATCAGATTTTTTTTTTTTTTACCTTATTTTTGTTTTTAAGAAAAATAGCTACATATGAGGATATTCGTTTAAAATTTTGATAGAACAGTAGAAGTATAATGTCCTCGTAAGTGGATATCAGGCCCTTGTAGAGCAAAATTGAGTATTTTGGTCTAAATAACCCAAAATGTGATGTCCACATATGTGGACGCCAGGTAACAGTGTAGTTATAAAGTGTATGTTTATCAAATTAAGAAACAATACCTTACTTTTTATATAATGTGTAACAGTTTATAGTAACCTATGAATAATTCTAAATGTATAGTTATTTAGAAGGAAGTCAAAAGCTGTTTTACCGTTTACAATAAAAACATGAATGTTATACACAAGTTTATTATATTTTACTAAAATAAAATAAAAATAAATAAAACTAGGCATGAAAAAAATATTTTATTTAACTAAGACAACAATAAAAACTAGACTTTTGAAAAATTGTTTAAAACTAAAATAAAATTAAATATATATAAAGAAATATCCTTAGTTTTAGTGTCTATTAGTGTGGTTGAAAAAAACATTACTAAAACTTGCCTGATGGCATGGATGGATATGTTTATCGAGACTCTAG